TCAAGATAATTAAGAAGATCTGAGATGAACTTTCCAATTCAAATTAAGCTAAGCTAGCTCCTTTCCTCATCGAGAAGTCGGTGCTTAACCATACCCACAGACTTACGAAACTGGTGCTGTTCTTGTTGGTTTCAGCAGAGACAGCAAGACCAGAAGGAGCTCTGTGAGAGGACTATTTACCTAACCAAATCGCACTTCAGGTATACTAACAGGTCACTTTGCTACTCTCTCAGAAATCACTTGATAGGTAGGTAAATTATGAATTAATTTTCCCAAGTCATTCATCTGGTGCTTCTCACAAATGCTAATTTACAATAAAACGACTCCTTAAAATTAGGAGCAAAACCAAAGAGACGCTGATCCAGCCACTGAAGGATACCATAGTGACGTGCTCAAACTAGGGAAGGAGCTTTTGAGCAAGGACAGGCTCAGAATTGGGAAGACAGTGCTAAGCATCTTCACTGATATTTTTCTAATGGTCTCACAAGATTGCTGTAGCACTAGTACACCTCTTGCTCCCACAGCTCGAGTCCAGTACTGCGTCACCACCTCAACACTGTGAGCATAGATAAGGCCAGTATCATTTTTACCCCTATCAGTCCATCTGGACTTGCTCTGAGTCGGTTAAAAAAAAATTCTTCTGGCAACTCCCCGCCAACAGTGCTTAACACCTAGAGCAATGAAGCAAGAGCCACAGCATGAGACCTTAAGGCCTATAATATAGAGAAAGCCCTTTCACAGCCAAACATCACAATTCTCTCACTGAAGTATGCACAAAATTCACACTGATTTTAAGGGTGGCAGGATCTAGTAGGAGCCTGGTAGCAACAATACTATTTGCTATTCGGCAGGTAGTGGGCATGACACAATGCTAACCAAGGCTGCAAGTATGCTGAGGTGCATTTTTTTTAAACACAGACTAGCACATCAGAGAAATAGTGAAGATGATACAGATGCTTCTTTTGGTGTAATTAAGGTTTGTCAGTGTTAAGCATAACTCTCAGAGGACACGAATCCATACATTACAACCCCCACTGCTCCAGTCATAGCTAGCTGGCCTTTTTAGGGGCAGTTCCCAGTACATGAGAGAGAAAGATTTCAGACTTTAAGGCTATTAGGCTGCTGTCAGTGATCAAAACCGAATTCCCGAAGGAAGCCACGTAAGGCCCAACAAGATTTAAAAAGCTATTTGCTCATTCCCATGCAGGTGGTTTAATATTTCTTCTGGGCAAAACACTTGAAAGGGAGCCAATTATCTACATCCAGTCACGGACCAAAAAAGCAGTCCAGCTATTTTAGAATTAATTTACTAATATTTGATACAGAATGCTATCGCCAAATTCCAACTGTCAGCATTTGGTCACCCTTTTGTCAAAATGATGACATTTTTCTGAAAGAAATCTCTTGGAAGATGAAAGCTAACTAAGAGAATATGTCAACTGAACAGAACATTGTCCAAGAATAATACTCTCTTTCTGCTAAGTAAATGCTTCAGCTTCACTTTAACATTTATTTCTAACATAGGAGACCGTGACAATGGTCCAGGGCAATGACATTACTTCTACTATACTGAATTACTAATGGATATTTAATCACTTTGCCTGATAGATGTTAATGCAGAAATGCAAGCTGTCCACTGTAAAATTACTAACCTACTGCGTTCCAACCAGTTAACAGAGCAAACAGGAGCCGTCTCCTGTGGTCTTCAGTAAGGCAAGAACTCCCATGGCCATTAATGGGATTTTCTGCTTCAGTGGTAACTAGAAGAGCCAGCTCCCAAGCAAAACTGCCTACTCTCCTGCTTTTGGTTAGTTTCTCCAGCACTACAGCCTGCCCACTGCTTCTGCTGACATTCCTCTTCCCATTCCCCAGCAACAACTGCTGGCCCCCTAAATTCAGTGCCCCTCCAGCTGTATGACTGATGCACTGTTGCTGGAAGCGAGGCGCATTGAATCTGAAACCCTGCTGAAAGCTCTTCTGCACCAGCACTGAGAGCATACCCCCATGCTGTGCCATGTCAAGCAGAGCTAAAGGCTTGCATTGCAATGGGTAGGCAGCCCTGCTCCTGAACAACTGGCTACAGCTTAAAGAGAAGCTGGTGCACCGGGGAGCAAACTTTGCCAGGGAAGCAAGAACAAAGGGTACCCCCTGCAAACGGAGAACAGCAGAGGTGAGCATCTCCCGTGAGCCTCCCCCGTGGCTGAAGAACGCGGAAACTGCCTTTGCTGCCCATTACTCAGCCCAAGAAATATTTTGTATTTAACTTTCAGTTTTCATAATACTAAAAAAGTCTTTTACCTTAAAAGATTAAGTATTGAAGAATAACATGTTCGTATAAAACTATATAACCTAGTAATAAAAAACCTCTGTTCTGCTTTCAAGATTTTTGAATCAAGATTATGATTAGTATGTTCAAACGTACCAAAGTAACTTGGGAGTTCAAAGTTGATCCAAAGTCTAAAACAAATGTAGTGAGGTTCAGGACTCGAGCTCATGAGCAAATTATTGCGGTGTAGCAAAGCTACTGCACAGCAGCTGAGATGTGGCAACTGTCCCCACGCACATGCTTAACCTATGGGAATTGTAAGTTACGGACTAATGAAAGTCACATTAACAGAAAAAAAAGTTAAGTTGAGACACTTCACAACTCCCATGAGCTAACTGCGAGCACCCAGACAGTTACTGTGGGTCAGATGACCTGTAATACCTGATTACTTTGAAGTAACTTTTCCTGAGGCTAAATCATTAAGTTTCTAAGACAATTTTAGATATTTCATCTCTTTGCAAAAATAAGTGAATATAAAAAAATCTCTTATGTCTTTGCTAAGTATACAGTTTTAAAACAAATAAAAACTAAAGGTTTTCCGTGGTCTTGAGCCAGCAAGTATAGCTTTAGTGCCCTAAACCATAAGCTACGAAATTTTTTTTTTTTTAAGCGACTTGTTTATTAAAAGAACAATTATTTAGATTACAAAATACCTACCTAAATCCTTTAAACTGTAAAAAATACACTATTCCTTACTGTTTCTCCAATCACATACGAACACAAAATTACACTGACATTCTCTGGAATATTTTCATTATTTTTTTTTTCTCCAGGGACGACATATGTTTCTAATAACTTGCCACTGAGCAAACAGATTTAGTGGGGTAGCAGCATGCTGAGAAAGATAGCAGGATTTTCAATTTTCAGATGAAAGTAGCTCTATTCCCTGGCAGCCCTACTCCCAACCCTTTAGGCCAGACCAAATTTTATCTGAAGCTAGCGGATGCCCGTCTTTGACTTCAGTGGAAGTTGAATCAGGTTTTTAGCATACCTGCACAAAACAGTTTGAGCTTATCAATTTTTTAATCAGTACTTATAGCAGAGGGAACCTGCAGCAATTAACAGGATTTCTGAACTTGGTTATTTACATACGCTTAGGTAAAAGATGACCCTGTTTTTACCTGAGAATAGCATCCAGCTGCTCACCAGACTCACAGACTAGTTTAGTTCATCAAAAGGAAAGTACTAATGCAAATTATAGGTACTGAGACAAGTCTCCGCTGCGCCTACTAGAAACAGATTTTAAAATCTATTATATCAATTTGCATAAGAAAAATCCACAGCAACATTTCATCAGATGAGTATTAGTTGCTTTGAAACACATATCTCACCTTCGGCCCCACAGTTTTGTTGTAAGGAAGTATAAGATATTTTTAATCTTTAAACATATTTGTTCTACTTTAACCTTGAAACTGAAGCATCCCACAACCTCTGTGGCTCAAGAAAAGTCTTTTTTGTACAGTCTATGCAGAAGAATAGTCCTGAATTTCCTGGAACTCTATCATAAAAGCTTTGTCCACTATTTTGAAATAGGGATGCTCAACGATAGGTGCCAGCAATCTCATCTGGATACGAAAAGCAGCACGGCCCTGACGATACTGTAAGCACTTGCACAGAAATTCTTGCTAAAGCAGGGCTACTCACACCAGGAAGCTTTGTTTCACATCTGATGCAGTCCAACTATTTAAAGAGGTAACTCCCAACTTTTCATCGCGTTTCCATGTAATTTCATTTGGACAGTTCTTTTTTTCCTGAACTGACTCTATATATGAAAGCTGACATAAAATATTTCATCAAGTTCTCTGAAAATACTGCCCTGCTAAAAATAAAGCTTTTATCATTAACCAACAACAAACATATAAACAGATACGTGGATTAAACAAAAAACATCATGGCTCTGTTACTAGTATTTGACAAAGATCTGACAAATAAAGAGTTGCAATTGCTTAATGGTTGGCACTGCATTTCTGTACGGCTTTTCTGTTCTTTTTGATAAAATCTTTTCTTTCCTAGGAGAGCTCAGTGCTTCGGGTCTGACATTTGTCTAGCAGTTTTATAAAGTAGGAATGAAACTATATTTAGCTCCAGAAAACCATGTTTTTTAATGCATGCAAAGCTGCAGCAGAATCAGAACAAGGAACTAATCTTAATGAGAAAAACTTTTATCAAGCATAACTCTGTTCCCACCAAATGGGAATAATTTGTCCCATTATCTCTAAAAATACCAGCTAGACACTTAAAGCTTCTGAAGCACATTGGTTCAATTAACAACCATGCAAATGTACAACAACCCAAACATGCCAGAGGCTGCTCTCTGAGCATCTTCAGATCTTTCGTGAAGAGCAACATCAAACATCACTAGGGACCTTTTCCTTGCCTCAGCCAACACCATGGAATAGGCGACAGGATGAAAAGAGCAGGATTGAACCGCCCTTCTGCACTGTATCACTGCTAAAGTCCAGCAAAAATAAGACTAAAACATATCCTTTTCATACACCTGTGCGTATTTCTTACGTAAGGAGGAGCCTTTCTTCAAAAGAGCTCCTTGGGAAGCTGGCTACTGGAAAGTCACGACATTGTAAGTTGAAGGAACTATTATGGCAAAATCAATGCCCTTTTTTTTTTTTTTTTTTAACATGAACAAAAACTGCAAGACTTGGCTCTGTGGTCTAACCTTATAATGTTTACTTAGCTTCCACTGTACTCAGAGAAGACTTGGGAGCTTTTGGATCTTCCAAAAGTACTCATCATCTGCCACCTAGGAAGTTAAAACATAAAGCATGCTTAAAAGCAAGTTTAATAATAGGTAACCAGACAATGCAAAGCAAGCGCATGGGCTCTCCAGTGTGCTTCCCCAAGCAGCGTACGGGTAGGCAGTATCAATTTTTCTATGCGTAAATGCATCTGCCAAAATATATTTCTGTATTTCTTGCGGCAAGTAACTGGACAAACGGTCAAAACATACAGAGTAAGAATCTGGTATTTGGTATTGTCAGGGCGCTACACACCTATGCCATTCATATGCAGTTGTAAGAATAGAGAGAGGGACTTGCTACTTTTAATATGCTCCTTCAAATCCCTAAAGACTCTTGATGTTGTATATATTCAGGCACAATTTGGCTATGATGAACTTCACCAGAGACAAAACTTGGACTTTAAGAAAGTATGTCAAGTACCTAAAATATCTAGGGGGGAAAATTCTGAAACACGAATACACACTCTGTTTTATTGCATATCTGTTATGCAAATAACATTCACACATCACTAATTCTTAAGTCTAAGTATATGAAAGTAGGAAATGAGAAATTAATAACAAAACAAGAAGTCAGTTAGAAACTAACTTTCTCTAACACGATACCAACGTTTTGAGGGCAGACACATTGATAGTTACAAAACGATTAAATCCTTAAAACATTTTAAAATTACTTTTATATGTAAACTTTTTTCATTATTATTATTTTTTATATGTAAGATTTTTAAATTGCTTTTATACTTCTTTAACAATAGGTGCCTTTGGTTATTTCTGCTTTAGAACCAGGGAAGAACATGGAGTGCAGAACATAGCCCACGTGAGTGGGCCGTTCACGTTTCTCCCATGCACAATCCAGCTACAAGTACTGGATGGCTTTTACTACAATCTGAATTCGAAAATAGGCCATTCTGGTCTGCACGGGTCAGGGACTTCTCTGCTTAAAAGAGAAACGCACGAGACAAAACTTTGTGGACCAATAATAAAACCAGTATGACTTCGCACTTGTTTAGTACCTTATACACAAGGACCTTAAACCACCTCACATACGGGACTCTACACCACTCTGGAGTTAGGCAAGAATTGTAAATCTCGTATTTTACAAAAATAGGCAACCCAACCAAAGAGCTTAGACTCAGCCATGTCGGTGGCAGAGGAAGCAACGGGCATGCACAACTTCACCGAATGACGTACTGCGAACCATTAGAATAGTTATTGTGTCAATTTTGTCACTTTTGTTTTGTCAATTGCTTCCTCCATTTCAAGCCGCGCTGTCAGCGACAGGGTCAATTTTTAAATCAATAACCAACAACAATAGCTCGATTTCTTACATCTAGACAGGCCATAAGAACATAAAGAATTAGGTGGGATTAGGAAGGATTTACTCTGTCACTATAAATAGTAAAAATCTGATTTTTGATTTCTTCCTAATTTTGGATTTTTTTGAGCTAATGTCTGCTTTTGGAAAGCAACCACAACGAGTAAAGGTCAACAGCACGCTTAAGAGCTAGGCATGCAAAGAGCTCTGAGAAGCAACCCACTACTGCTCACTGCAGCTATGCACCTTCCCCAGCAGGCACATTCATAAAAAAAAAAAAAAGAGCTTATTTTGTTAATTTTTTTTTTTAAGTTAGACGTTCTCACCTCTAAAAACAGGACATGAGTTTTGAAAACTTATAAATAAACATAGACACGAACGACCAGCCAGTACACGATACAAACAGTCCCTATACCCACAAATCCATAACCTGAAAGACAATCACTGGAGACCGGCTGGAAAAACAGGGCTTTTCTGGGAAAAACGTTTTTAGCGTAGGTCACACGCTACATCCATGCAAGAGCCATGGCCACTTCAGGCCTCGCAACTGTCAGGGAGGCCGGTGGCAGAACATGCCGGGTGGCGGGGGGACACCGGTCCGGGGTCCCCTGTGCCCTCCGCGGCCAAGCCACCCCCACCCCGACGGGATCTGCTGCAAATTAGGCCTGGGAACAGGCACAGGAAGCATTCCTGGCACCAGTCCTATCTTCAGCAAACTAACGGGCACGTGACGCTGCTCTGCCCCAGACCGTGTTTTACACGGTATTGCCTGATTTCTCCCACTCCAGCCGGATACGCTTTCTCAAACAGCGGAGCGGCGCGGGGGCACAGGCACTGGGGTCAGCATGTCAGCTCCGGCTGCTTTAAAGGGAGCAAAATAAGACCTTTTGGCTGGAGGTATCACACACGCACACAGCTCCTTTAAAAAATCCTCAACAACAACGAGACAGAAGGGCTAGCGCAACTTTGCAGTAAACCCCCCAGCAACCACCAACAAAAGGGAAAAAAACCCATCAAATCGGCAGCCGTAAAAGAAAACGTGCCGACGTTTCACTTGTTTGGAAAAGCAGCGAGCTGCAGGGCGACGAGCGGCGCGGCGGGGCTGGGGTGTTTCCGCGCACCCCGACGGGCTCCGAGCTACC